TATCTATGAGTAGGAGCCACTTGGTGCCTCTGTTCTTAAGGTGTAATTGGTGGAAAGCTTGGATGTCTCTAATAAACTGCTTATAATCGATATCCCTCTTTCCCCTATTTATGATGTAGCTTTGGTTAAATTGGGTACAATGCATCAAAATTTAACCTAGCATTCTAATAAGGAGTCTATTGATCACTCCGACTGGTTAGTTAATTGTGACTCGTCGACTAATTGATATTTTGGAGAGGGTACTAATGAATTTGACAATGCTTCGTAGGAGGTCTATGACCTGACTGTGCTGCAAATCGATAATGAGGGCTTTTAATTTCCAGTGTTGTTGGGAAAAAAAGTAAGAAAAAAAAGGTTCATGCAGCCTTTCAAAAATTCTATTGACACTATTATTAACACTCGTTCTTTGTCTAATTAGGAAGTTTCCAATTTTCTTTTTAATGGTAAATGGAATCGCAGTCTTATTTATGAGTATGTGCCTTATTCTATTGATGCTAATATTTGTGATATTCCTATTGATTTTAGCTCCACTGATCAACATATGTTTAAGCTCTCGGTTGATGCATAGTGCTTTCTCTACTAAAGATGTTTGGGATAATTTTAGGTTGAAATCCCCTTTCAAGCTTGTTTGTCATAAAAGAATTCCATTACCCTCACTAGTATTTCAATTTTAAATTAGAGGATTCTTAAGGGTCTCATCCCTATTGATGACATACTTTAGAAAAGAGACTTTATATTACTTCCAATGTCAATGTTGTTGTAGCTTGGAAATTATGAATCACTTTTTTATTGATGGCTCGTTAACCAATAACATTTGGTGCTTTTTAGATAATGCTTTGGGTATGAACTTGAATTTATTTAATACTAATTGTCATGATATCCTTGCACAATGCTTTTATAAAAAGAAGGCTGGAATATTGCTATTGAAATTTCTATGGTTATTGTTTTGTTACTGTGGATTGAAAGAAAAACCTACAAGCACTCTGACATTAAGATGAGTTTTGATCGAGTTCTCATTAACCTTAATCATAAAATTCATCAACTTATTGCTGCCAATTTACTTTGACCCAAACATTTTAAAGGGAAGAAAAGATGGATTTCTTTTTTTCAAATTTCTTTTATATTTTTGTCACATTGAAAGGGCTACCAAAGTCATTACCTAGGATAAGCCTCCTCTGGACTTGGTGAAGCTTAATTTTGACAATTCTGTTAACTGTTCTATTGTTGGTTGTGGGGGCATTACTTGTGATTATCTTGGTGATTTCATTTTTGCCTTTGCTTCTATTTCTCATTGCAATATTATTAATGCTAATTAAGGCGAAGTCTTTGTTAATGAGTTTGAAATTTTGCTTGGATCACAACTTTAAAAAAAATTGGATCGAATATGACTCTTGTCTTTTACTTAAATTATTTTCGTCTAACAACAGAAGTAATACTTCTCTTCATTATAATTTTAGGAATATCAAATTTTATCTTAGCCAATTTAATTATGTTTTAACTTATATTTTGAGAGAAATGAATAGTTGTGTTGTGGCTTGCGAAAAACGATTATGTAACATCCAACTCTAAATTGTATCATAGCTGCAATGACCTCCATTTTTTTTAGAGGTTTGGTGAGATTGGATAAGATGAGTTTACCTTATTTTAAACTCCATTAACCTCTTTTTTTTTATGTTATATTTTCTTCTATTGTTGGTTTTGTTTCTTAGTTTCGCTGTCTAGTTCAAGTCATTCATTATTTGGTTCATTGGTTATTGTGTTTCCTGTATTCTTGGGTTTATTGCTGTATTCTAGGTGCTGCTATAAATTGGGGCTATTTGTATGGGTGGCTTTGTTAATCAGTGCCAGTAGAGGTCTTATGCTTAATATTCTGCCTCTTGTCTTTGTCTGTTCTGCCTTGGGTTTTTTTATCATGAGTAGTCTAAGTTGGTTTCATTAATTTATGTTTGCTATAGTTGATATGACCCTTTCATTTTTTAAATTCCAATTTCTCTTATTTTGTTGTTGTCTCCTTATTGTTGCTCTGTTGTTGGGGTGTTCTTTTTAGTTGGATGTTTCTTTTCTATCCTTTTAAGTTTGCCTCCTCTCTGTGGGTGTGTCATAATTTCTACTGTATAATTGGTTGCTCTTTTACGTATTTGATGTTGACTGGATTTTGGGTGCATGTCTAGTGTTTTCTTTTTTCTTCTTTATTTTCAGGTTATTCTAAACTTTGATCACATGCATCTTTTGGTTGTTTTGATCCAGTGTAGTTGATGGTCCTTTTAGCTGTGCCCTTTCGCGCCTTCATATTCCTCAGCCTGATGATGGTTTGCAATTATTGAATATCTTGATTTTGGACTTCTTATTTTTGGGTTTGACTCCTTGTCTACTTTCCTTAGATTTCTTTTCCTTTTTTTATTTTTTGGATTGTAATTAGATAGTGATATTTGAATCTTAAATTTTTTTTAACTTTTTGATCGTATTTCTTTGAGTATTCGAGAGTTATCGATTCTTTTAAGAACTTGTAACATATTTTGAATATTAATGCATAGGTCCATCCTTGTGTTTTCTCAAAAAAAAAAAAGAGGGTTGACCTCTGATCCTATGTTTGTACACACCAAATATAATATTTTAATATTTAGTTTTCTCATAAACTTAGAGAAACTAAACCTCATTGATTTGCTTAAAGTATTTTGTTTGCTCAAGATATAAAAAACATTAAATTTACAAAATAAATTTTAGCATTGAGAATCTACCGACGCTATTCCGGCGGTTAGGCCGCCGGAAATATACGACCAAACCGGAGGTTAAACAGCCGGTATGCCGCCGGTAAATAACCGGCGGTCACCGGCGTAATGACCGCCAGAAAACTACCGGCGACACGAGCCACCGGTAAACCGCCAGAAACAAGCCTCCAGAAACGGTTTCCTATGCCTTTTTTACCGGCAATTTTTAAATCGCTGCAAAGCCGCCAGTGTTTTCCGAAACCGCCGGAAATCTTATGATAACTGCCGGAACTAGTCGCCGGTAATAAGTGATTTTCATGTACTGTCACTCATATCATAACCAATTATTTTAATGCCCTAAATTTAAATATGTTTCTACAGTACTAGTTGCACAGTTAATTTTTCCAAAAACTGTGGAGGTATAGGGATTACTTGTGCATTCGACAATCATTAAGGCATATTTAATTTGTTACTTTTCCAGCAACAACATTGATAGTGGCTTGATATCCTTTGATAATTAGTTGTCTGATGGAGAACAAATTTCTCCTCAAGCCAAGAGTTCCTCTAATGTTTCAAATTACTAAGAATTTTTATTTGTGAATTGATTATCAAATCTTTAAAGTTCATAATATTTATGGGCTCGTCATCAATAAGAAATATTTTGTCATAATTATTTACGTAATAGTTTATTATTAAATATTTATTGAAAAATAATGAAAATACACACCTTGAAGATTTTACGTACAAAATATGGTATTGTTTTCACAATAGTAACTTTCTTCTCATCTTAATTATGAAAGTTAAAATTGAGCTACTCCCTAAGAAGATCGAGAGCCTCTCTGGCCTACTCTTGATAGAACTAAAAATAGACACATATCACTATCAAAAAACGGGATCTTTCGTAGCACTTGTTATGGGCGGTTTGAAAACCGCTGACAAAACCGTTTATTTGCAGCGGTTATAACCGATGCAAATAGCAGCGGTTATAACCGATGCAAAAAAGTTACAGTTTTAACTTCTTAACCTAGTTGGGCATTCGATCCGGCATTTCATTTCTTCCTTTCGATTCCGCCCCCTTCTCCTCCTTGCCTTTGCCCTCTTCTCTGATTTCGTTTCGATCAGTCGTCGCCATCAAAGGTCGAAGTCCGGCCGTCCGTTCGTCAGCATCGAAGACCAAAGTTCGGTCGTCCGTTCGTGTCCAGCTACTCCAGATCTCCCTGCTCGCGATCGGTTTGTCCCCTAACCTAGGGTTTTTAAATTTTTTTTGAATGCTTGTACATTAGGTTGAAGAAATATCATGTGCTTTTATTGTGATGTCTAAGGAAATGATTTCAAGTGGAAAATAACTATGATAACAATGTGTAAGCAATTATATATAAAATCCTATTTGTTTCAGCATGAGATTAGTCTTATTAGTACTCTACCTTATGGTTAGAGTACATGCAATTATATATAAAATCCTATTATAAGCCCCATGTAGTTTAATTAACGTTGAACCCTGATGAATTATAATGTGCTCATATGGTTTTAGTGATTTACAATGCTGTGGTGGTTGATTTAATCTTAATGAACAAATTAATTTGTTCATTAATTATTAATTGTAATTTTATTTTGCATGTTTCATGTTATATAAGTTGGTGCATGCATAGGAAATAATGGAGTTTAAATTTGGTCTCAGGTAACTAATAACAAGGAGATAATTCATCTTCATAAGAGTATTTGACATGCACCATTAATGTTTCATGGGTGAAGTTATTTTTTGAAAATTTAGCACATGAATAAAACTTAGTTTTACTTGGCATGGTTATATAGTTAGAGCTGTAGTATTAGATGTGATGCTTCTAGTTATATGGATATCTTATGTAATTTTGAACTTATGTTGTTGGTTGTATGCATATCTTATGTAATTTCGAACTTATGTTGTTTTGATTTTGAACTCTAATGATTGTTATTTTGTGCACATTTTCTTTCTTGTTACTATATGAGATATAGTATTCCCTAGTAATTTTTCTTGAGTTTTACTTGGTATTTAGTGATTTCTAATTTTTTGGTAGTGATATATATCCACTTGGAGTCGCTATAGGCCTCTCCAAAGACCCACACAAACCCCTTTTCCTTAGGCTCTATTTATAGTGGTAAAAATATTTGAATTTAGTGATAGGTAATTAGTTACAATGTTTTATAATATCCTATAAAATCAACAAAAAAATCTCATAACCAAGCAAAAAAAGATCTAATCATATCTTTGAGCACCTTAATCGAATATCTGCAATGAATAAGATACCTCAATCATATCATAAAAAGATTTGATGGGAGGAAATTTTGAGGTCATAATTTTTAACACATTGTACATCTAAAAACAGAAAACTAATTGATACTTTATGGAACATGGCCTTTTTGCCCTTTAGATTGATATGCTTTGTAAACACTTCACTGTCTTTATCTCTCTCTCACTCACTCACTCTGGGTTAGTATCTTCTGATGCAAAAGATCGATAGATGTCTGAATTTGAAAATCTGCTCAGTACATACATATAATTATATAATTTCCAGCTTTGATTGCTAAGGCCTTCCTAAGGTGAACTCGATAATGGGCTTCTTCGAGCTGGTCTCTGATAGGCAGGATGAGTTAAGATCCGAAATCATTTCAAAGCTTCTGGATTGCCTCTCACACTGCACCATTGAATCCAAAATAAAGGTTCACATTTTTCTCAATGAAATGTTTTCCGTTCTATACTTACAACTTTATTAAGAAAAACAAAATCACTAAAAGTCAATAAGGCTTCGTTTGGGACGGCATTCTTATTGCTTCTCAAAGAAAACTTTTGTAATAAAAAATTGCTTTGAGAAGCAGCAAAAAAGCTGTCCCGAACGAAGCCTAAATCATCAATAAAGCTTGCATGAGAAAATTTGAATAATTGGTTCGAAGTTGGTACCTGATCAAAAGGGGACATCCTCCCTCTCCCTGATGAGGTGTATTCCTTTGGTTTGTCATGAAACAGCTCTTCCCTGCTGAAGAAATCATTTATATCATTCATAAAGCGTTAATTTCAACGAGTGGAAGCTGATGCAATCAAAGAAGAAAAAGACTAGCAGATATATCTACTGTGGGAGAAAAGAAGGCCATCTTCCACCATTAGCTAGTTGTGAATTCTTAGCTTTGTGAGGTGGGAAAGAGAAATAAAGTTACATTCCCATGTGATCACCCATTATTAACAAAAAGGAAAAAAGAAAATTGAAGTGACATATTGCTAAAAAAATGAGCACTTTTTCATAGATCATTTCACATTTATGTGAGTGCCACTTTATTTTGTTGAGGAGAGCTTAAGCTTTTTCTTAAGGGCTCATTTGGTTGATTCTAAATGAAAAATATGTTCTAAAAGTATGATTTCCCCACCATCAAAATATATATATATATGTTATTAATGATATGATTAAAAATTTTAATCAACTTATTTATTAGAAAATACAACTAAATAGTAATCTATGGTAACATGCAAATACTTAAAAATTAAAGTATTGATATGAATTTTAGTCATTCTTTTTTAAAAGAGATGAATATAACTCATAATTATCAGTTAATTTTCACTTATTTTGAATGTGAATGAAATCCTTGCTTTCTAAAAATGTTAAAAAGATATTTTAAAACTTTAAAGTACTTAATGTTTTGAACTGCATTAAGAAAAAAACTAAATCTAATGAAATCATAATTTCCTAATTCATGCAGTCAAATGAGTCCTATTGGACAACAGATGGGAAGTATCAAAAGGATTAGCTAACTTTTGTATCAATTGGTCCACAAAATCTCTGAAAAAATATCATTAGGAATTCCTTACAAAAATTCTAGTAAGAAAGACTTAGGATCTGTATGGACAACTAAAATCATTATTTTATAAAGTTGATAGTGAAGTTGTTGCGGAGAAAACAACTTCGTTATAATGGTTGTAGAAAACAATTTATCAAAACAAAAATTTCTAAAAAGCAGTGAGAAGTAATAACTAAACGAAATGGTGGTTGTTGTCTGAAAGAAAACAACCTGAAAGCTGTCCCAAATAGGCTCTTAATATTCATTTGGGACGGCTTTTATGTTGCTTCTTAAAGCAGCTTTCTAATACAAAAATTTTAACTTTTATATTAAAAAGCAACTTTAAGCCGTAGTAAAAAAAGTCGCCCCAAACGAGATTTCCATTAATTTCAGTAAAGAGATTTGTGTTTCTAAATTTTAAATCTCTATCAACTGTAAACTTATGAACACAAAAATCTTAATACAAGATCAACCCTTCATGATATGATTAATTTTCCCAAAGTGAAAGAGCGAGTTCCTTTACCCCTACTTTGCGACGAGATTTGTCTTCGGTATTGGAGACCGACCTATGTGTTTGTTTCTTGAAGTGGGATATGCGATAGGCTTCTAGCTCTTTCTAAACTACAAGCTAGAAGGGATCATTGCAAGCACTATCATGCAGGTTCAATGCTCACCTGCTACTGAATATATAGAAGGAACAAGGAACATGACATTTATTGCTTTATTTTTTTGTGAATAGTTGCATGATGATATTTATTTAATATAACTTTATGCCTTTATCTTTCTGAAGAAGCCTTGAGTTTATGATGGTGACGACGTAGATCTGGTTATTTATAATAATAGATTATTCTTTCATTATTATATTTCTCCATCAACTTTATCTTTAAAATTGAATTTGATACTTATGGATATCTTTGAACTTAGAAGACTAGAAGATCTGATTGCTTGATCGATGATTACTAACTCCATAATTTCCGGAGCTGATCTATACCTTGAAGGCTTGAATAGCTCAGCTAATTATTAATAAATAGTAAAATGTAAATATTTGGTTTTTTATTACAAGCTAAATAGCGCAAATTAATGGAATAGCTATGAACAAACCTACAAAAAAAGAAGAAATTAAGATAGCCTACTGAACTGAAATGATCGATCTGCATGATTGTTTTATTGACTGAATAAAGGGAATTTCAAGGGGTACTTGATTTTCAGTCCTTAGAACTATCAAGGGGCTGTTTGGTTTAAAGTATTAAGAGTGTCTTGAATTATGGACGTAAAAGAGAACTGGAGTAGTACTGCTTCAAATATAACCTTATAATAAATATATGAAAAAATATTTCACTTTATTTGACTTGCATTCAATTAAATAAATCATTTAATTTCATTTACCCTCTATTTTAAAAACATATGCATTTGAAAGCATCGAACGAAACACCTCCTATAGCAATTCTTTTATGTCCTTGCAATGGCATTCATTGAACATTTAAGTAAGAAAAATGTACCATCACTGAAAAAAATGATATTTTTAGATCATCTCCAACTGAAAAAATTATTTTCCACTCCAAATATAATAATTCTTCCCCAACCGAACTCTATTTCTTAACGGAAAAAAAAAATTCCGTGTATTCTTTCTCAACCACACGCGCTAGCATTTCTCCACTACGCTTCAAAAAATCTGTTTGTGAATAGTACGACACCAATATTGGCGTCACACTGTTCATGAACAAGAGAATGACGCACCTTTTGCTATTCGATTGGAGAAGTTCATGGACACCAAACAGGAGTATGAAGTTCGGTTGAAATTGTCCTAAAGGCTTCATTTGAGACAGCTTTTAACTACATTTTTTTGTTGCTTTTAAAAAATTTTGCACTAAAAAGCTAAATCCAAACGAAATCTTAGTTAAACTATTTGAATCCCTCGTAAGAACATGAGTATTATAATTTAAATAAGCCGAAGACAATTACAACAGATGAGGAAATGAAATCAAGCAGCATATCAATGCACACCAACTAAACAGACAACGCACTTGTAACATTAGATTGCCCAATTTAGATTCTATTTTATCTCCATATCAAAGATGAATATAACTATTCTATCATAGCTGAAGCGAAAGAAAAAAAAAAAAACAGCCATTTGATTCAGTATTCCAGATCAAGTACTGAAGCTGTAAAAAAAATAGGTTATTTTGATTGAGAGTATTCAATTTGCAGCAGATTTATTAAAAAAAGCCATCGAAAGTACTAATCTATCCTTATCAATTTTATTGGACGGTTTACTTATACCAATTTTTAAACAAATAGTACTACGTACCCATCTTTAAATTATAGAACAAGGAAGACTGAATTTTTTTTTTTTTTTTCAGCATCTTGCTTGATAGAGACCAAATAATAAGTAATCGATAGATAACGAAAGAAATCATTCGGTGGAAAATTATTTTCAGCATAAATAACCCACAAATAAAAAAAAGTTAGGCAATTTTCAATTGATTTCGCTGCTTGCAGTTTAGTACTGCTGCAAACTGTAATTAAAAAAGCGTGCTTTACCTGGAAGAATTGCTCCATAAACCATAAGAATTCGTGCTATTTTGTCCTGCTGACTTTCCATTTTCAACTGAAGATTCGGGTCCATGCACAATATTGTTTAAATCGAGCAAGTTGTCATCAAAGTTTTCAATGGGATCACCTTGACCTACGATATTTATTTGAAATAATTTTTTCTTAGATGGCTGTATGGTATTGTATTGAAAGAAGATTTTTTTTACGCTCCAAAAAATTTAAATAATAATCATATTAAATAAAATATAAATAAATATTAAATTTTTATTATACCTTTTCTTAAATTATGACTAAAAATAACATTTTTAATGACTTTTTTTTGAAAGGTGTGATTTTTTATTATGTGAACAATTATTCAAAACACATTTTTTTTGTAAAAATAGGATAAAAAGCAATTTTATTCACTTAAATAATAAAAATTTACTTTTTTTTTAACAAAAGTGGTTAAATATAATAAAGATGGGACTAAAAAAAAAAATTTTTACTACCATTAATCATTCTACTATTTCAAAAGCCTAATGTAGCTCAAAATTTCGCTGTGGTACCTGAAGTGAGCGGTTTATCAGTGGTCTTGACAGTCCGATACATCTGCAATCAATGACAAAGCACATTATAGTTACAAAAATGTTTATCAACAAAACTTTAGAGAATATAAACTGCGCAATTGAAAATTATTATATTCATGAAAAAATTATAAAAAACTTTTCTTGTAAACATGTAATGAGATGAACAGGCAAATTAAAGTACAGTTTCTCTAAAATTTAATCCATCAACCAATAAAATAAAGTTCAAGTAATTGTGCTGAAATTTTTTTTTTTTTTGGGAGTGATAGACGTTCAAATTTACTGAGCTAAACAACATTAAAGTGAAAAAGAAAACAACTAGCCTAGTAATATTGAAGCCATTTCTGTATATAGCTCTTCCTGCATTAATTGTATCATCAGCTGTGTTTCTATATATAGCCATATTGGTGCATGCTGATAAATGATTGAGTAATGATGGTTCATTATTTTGGGTGGTGGTAGGGATGGAGTTGGTTTCTCTTTAAAAGTCCGTTCTTCGATCGTTATACTGTGATTTATGACAGTATTTTCCTTTCTCCTTTTACCTTTAAAGGCATGGTTTCTGGTTCAGAAGCAAAGCTGTTCCTGACTCTCAGAACCCACAAATCTCTAGAAAGCGGGGGAGAGATCGAGAGAGAAGCAAACCAAGGTAGAGAGAGTCACTGTTGCAATAAGAAAGTAGCTAAAGAACAATATAAAATGTGGCAAGTGAGAGAGAGGGTGAGTACGGAGCGATGGCAACGGGAAAGGAAAGGAAAGGAAATGGAAACAAAAGCTTAATTTTTCCTGGAACAAAATGCAACTCTTTCCAAATGCTTTAGTCGTCCCTTTCTTGTCACAAGCCAAATATCTCACAATCTCATCTCTGAATCTCTGAGAACTAAGAAAGCTAGAAGCTATGCTCCTAACTAGCTTTCATTCGAGCTTTCCCCGTAACAAAAAAGAAACAAAACAATGCAAGGCGAGATGAGAGCTACAAAATACAATAAAAACCAGTTTTGTGAATAGGGTACCTGTAAGTGGGATTTCACATGAGCCAAGGTGAGATCTTTCACATCCATGAGCTCGAGAACAGACTTGGGGGTTGCTCCTATAACCCAAAAACGACCGAAATGTTCATAGAACAAATAAAAATGCAGTCTTTGTGTAATAGAAAAAAATAAATAATCTTCTTAATTACTCTCATGGCCGCCGAGGAGCTCAACAGCATGAACAAAGCGAGCATGGAGAGTAGAAGTCCAGCGCATTCGGGGAGCTCTCATGCTGCGCTTCACGGGAAACCGAGGGAGAAACCTCGACGACGGTGATGTCCTTGAGGAATCGAAGAAGTAGTTGAGTCTGTGGTTTTGCTGAGGAGGGAAAGGAAAGGAAGGAGGGGAATGGTAAACAGGGATGCCACGTATGGGGCGAAGAAAGGCGAGATCTTGGCCGAGGTATGGCTCATGGAGGAACGAAGGATAGTGGTTGGAGAGACCTTGGTTTGGGAGGGAGAGGTCGAAGCCGTCGCCGGCGACGGATGACTTAGCCGCTACGGTGCCGGTGGAGTTGGAGTCGAGGGCTCTGCTCCAAAACGCCAGGTGCACGGTCTCTGATTCTGCTGTGTTATTCCAGCTTGAGCTCGGTTTGTTGGCATTAGGAGGGCTTATCTGTAATGAGAGGTCTGGCTGTGCTGGAAACAACTCCATTCTTTCTCTTCTTTTTGTAAAAGTAGGAGAATAAAGAAACCTCCAATTTCCTAATCTCTCTCTCTCTCTTTCTTGTTTAGTGTTTTCTTCTGCTACTTGTTCATGATGCTTCTTGTACTTGTTGATGTGGTTGTGCTGTACTGATTTAATTTTCTCTTGTGGTTGAAGGATTGGAGAAGACGAGAGAGAGAGGGAGAGAGGGAGAGAGAGAGATCTGTGTGGGCGAAGAGACGAGGAGAGGATTTGAGGAGGAATGGAATGGGAATTCTATGATAGAGAGAGGAAGGGTGGAGGGGTAAAGAAGCGGGTAGAGATTGTGTGAAAACAGCTTCTTGCTTCTTCCTGGGAAGTATGAGGGAGAAAATGACACTGGGGAGAGAGGGAGAGAGGGAGAGAGGGAGAGAGAGAGAGAGAAAGTAAATGACTGTTCTGAGGATTCCGTTCTTTTCACCCATTTCGGTTTTTTTAAGGGCAACCTAAATTTATTTTCGTTTCTGAAAAAAATATATGTTAAACCTGGTCTTTTGAGTTTTGACTTCTCTTGAAAAGAAAAGAATCGTCAAATTAAAAAAAAAAAAAAACATGTGTTAATCTTTTAACCGAAAGAATAAAAAAAATTAAAACATTCCTAGCGCATTTAAAATTGATGACTTAGGCCTTTTAGCTAGCACACATTTAAAAATATTTTTAAATAAATAATTAAAAAAAAAACATGAATAAATTTTTAATTTGTGAAATTCTTTTATAATTCCAAGTTTTATTTAATTTTATTGTGATATTTTGAAATGTGGGGATAAAAATTATTAAAATTGCATAAAAATGACCATAAATTTAATTTGAACATGTCATAATACTTATTGTGTCGCAGAATATTCATGACAGTAGATAAATATAAAGTTTAACACATTAACTTTGTACGAGGATCCAACACACAATTAAATGAAAGAGAGGGGTGCAATGTTCATATGAGACACTTGAGTTTTTACATTAAAACCTATAAAAGGGGGAAAACTATGGAACTTTGATCAGTTGAAAAGATTCCATTAGTATTCATGGTTTATAACAAATGAGGCCCTTCCTTAGGGGGGAAAGCCTTGGCTAAATGTAGCAAATATATATCATATATAGTGCATTACATGGTCGGAGTTGAAAGAATCAGTGTTGACATGTTAGTTTGGTCGACAGGACTATAGCCAACGAACGAAGTAGGTTGGAAGGTTCGTAGTGGGGCGACGGAAGTTAGAAAGACCGTAGTCAAGTGATGGTGGTCGGAAGTTCTGTAATTGAGCGACGTACGGTGGTCAGAAGGACCGTAGTTGGGTGACGGCGGTCCGAGGATCGTAGTCGGCAGGTGATGGAGGTCGGAAAGATTCTAGTTAGTAGATGATCGAGGAGCTTGGTGGCATGAGAGGTTTCAAATTTCTCTTCCATTCCTCTCTTCTTTTCTCCTTACTTCGTTCCTACTTCAATGAATAATGAGGGGTTTATTTATAATTTTGTTGGAGTGTCATGTCTAAAAAATAAGGAGAAGATCAATGACATATTAGGAATGTTTCAAATGGATGGTCGATATCGATTCCTGTGATCATAAACTATTTATTGATTCTTTAAGTGCCTTAATATGCTATAATTTGATGATCTTTGGTTCGTTGAATTTTTCTCGTCGAGCCGCTCAATTCGACTATAAGCATGTCACATTTGGATATCATTTGATCATCCAATTTATGATTTGAACCTTCTAAATGTGCTTCGGGCTGAACCTTGATTTGGACCCATTTGTGCTTGGATTGAGTTGAATTTATATTGGAGATTAATTCTAAAGCTTAAGAAGCCAATGTGCACAGTTAATTTCAAATACCAAGATCCTCGAAATAAAGCAAGCTTATACAATGACTTATGACATTGGGATCTAGTTTGGCATCAAAGAGAACTTTATGACTAATTGTTTGGTAAATCTCATTGACTAAAAGAATTTGATGAATGGATAACTGAAGATACAATTATAAATAAGAGCTCTTATAAATATAAAAATAACATACACAACTTTTTGAATATTATCGTTACCTAAATATCTTTAAGATTCATGTTTGTTCAGTCAATCGTATCTCTCCTCAACTCCTTTAGGAGTCATA